GAGAGGCTAATGTCCTAAAAGGCATGAGGCAGGCAAAGCCCAGTGTGTTCTAAGAGTACAAAAGGGTTACATGCCTGGGAGCTTGAGAGAACATGAGTAATGAGAAGGAGGAGGAGCCCCATTGTGTTGGATTTTGGAGGCTGCTGTAAGAACTTTGGGGTTCTTCTTTGAGACTTAAAGAAACTTTATTGTTATCATCATCATCATTGTTGTTGTTAGTATGTATGTGTGTGGAGGGGATGAGAGTTGTTATCACGATTACTGCTATTGTCAGTGTGTATCTGTATGTGGGAGGAGGAGAGAAAGAAAGATTAAAGGACAACTTTCAGAGTCAGTTCTCTCCTTCCACAGTGGGTTCCAGGGATCTAGCTAATAAGGTCATCAGGCTTGTGTCACAAGCTCTTTCCCTCTCTGAGCCATGTCACTGGCCCAATCAGTACAGGAGGTGTTTGCCTTTGTGCACTATTAGAAAAGCAGTATACAGTCTGCCTTCATTCTTACCAAGCAGGCCTCTGGCTGTTACATTGAGAGCATAGACAGGTTGAAGCAAAGTAGAAGCTGGGCAGCCAGGATGGTGGCTACGAGACAATGGTGGTGGCTCATCTGGATCTGGTGCCAAGGAAGCAGAGAGGAGTGTCTAGATTACAGGTATATTTTGTAGGTGGTACACTGGTGATTAATCTAAGAGGGAAAGGGGGTCAGAGGACTCTGTGGTATTGGATCTGAGCAGCTGGAAAAATAGATCTGCCTGCCTCACAGGAGGGTGAGCTTGGAGCCAGTTCAACAGCAAAGTCAAGAGGTCAGCCCCGAACACAAGACACTCTAAGACATCAGAAGGAGTAGCAGGATTGGCAGTTAATATACAACTTTGAGTGGAGGTTAAATTCCAGAAATTCACTACCTTCCATAAGTCACCATTGCTGTATTTCTCACTAGCTCACAATATTGAATCATCATTGCAGTGCCATTTTGAATGCTGTGATACACTGTATGACTTACTACCTTTGAGTTCTGTGTCACAGATCATCTCTGACTATGGGTTAACTACTGCATTCTGTGTTGAGACAATGATGGCTTAATTGTTCAACATTGCCAATGTCATGATTTAAATAGTGAATTGAGAATGCTAAGGAGACTGTGTCAGCATGACCCAGATACCACTGAAAGCAAAGACTAAATGATGATGTTGTTTGACAATCAACAAAGATTTATACAAAAGGTTTAGGAGAAAGAGCGAGTAAGCAAAGAACTCAGTGTTCGACATACAGAAAAAAACATGGGAGTATGTACTCAAAATACACACAGCAGTGTGAATGGAGACTGAATTTCACAAATGCACAAGCATAGGCAAGCACTTCTAAATCAACCAAAAGTGGCATTTGACCAATTGTGGTGGTACATGCCTATGATCTCAGCCTGCTGACATTATGTCTTTAGGGACCTCAGACCCTCAGACATATTTCTAGGCAAGAGGGAAAATGTATATATAAATGAGAATGCTAAGGAGACTCTGTGGTGTGTGTGTGTGTGTGTGTGTGTGTGTGTGTGTGTGTGTGTGTGTGTGTGTTTCCAAAAATAAGGCATTTTATCAGACTTGGCTGCATATTGAATCGATGTTTAAGCTTTTTAACGTGTGAGTCTCATCCCAAGAGATTCTGGCTTAATTGGCATGAATATAGCCCGACTTTTAAAAAGCATCATGCTGTGTGATAAAATCCAGAATTCTTTCCTTAAAGATTGATTTTCCTTAGAGAACCTGGCTTCTATTTGCACACATTCCCTCCAAACGGCTTTTTGTTATTGCTTTGTTTTTGAGACAAGGTCTTGCTATGTATCTTTGCTGGCCTGTTAGATAAACGAGGCTGGCCTCAAATTTACTATAATCCTGCTACCTTAGTTTGTCAAGTGCTGGAATTACAGGTGTGTATCACCAGCCCTGCCTTCCTAAAGTTTTGATGATAGTAATTGGTTTACCCATTGGAGATTGAGGCTGACAGATACTATCATTATTATAGTGATTGTATTTTTCAACAGGATACATTCAGTAGCAGCACAAAATTCCATCTTGAAAGCCACCAAAAGTAAAATAGGGGATTTTGAAGACATACATTGCTTCCTGGTTGATATCTCCCACCTTTTTACATCTACAGCCCATTGACTGGCTTATTTTGCCTCTTTAGAATTCTGAACAACTATTAGGTGTCTTAAAAACCACGTCAGCACCAGGATAACTCCCTCAACATTGCTACCTATCTCCACCAATGTTCCCAGTAACTCCCTCCCCATCCTTCCTGCCCAGCATATCTACTTGGCATTCTTGGTTGACAGTAACCATTCTTTGTGAGTCAGGTATTTTGAAAGATTTATCAAAATACTCTCACCATTTGCCATCCATGATGGGATACAGCAATTGGTGGCAGTAATGACAAGCAGGAAGGGTGGTCACAACTGTGGCAGCTACAACAGGCTAAGGCAATAGCAGTTGAGGTAATGCATAGCAGCCATAACAGTGGCTACCACTGAAATGAACTTAGTGGCTAAAAACTGAGAGAGCCACATTTGATTGACTGACCGCCTTCTCTCTCTCTGCCTGCAAGTATGGCAAGCAGGAGGTAGCAGGCAACAAAAAATCAAAGCCCTCAACTAAATAGTCCTCAATGAAAGGGATGATAGAAGTTGGTGTCTCTCACCCCTTAAATGGGAATGTTCTGTCTCTCAGAGAACTAAGCTGTTGCCCACTGTGACAGTTTGCTTGGTGAGATCTTTCCCTTCGTGGTCACACTCATTGTTCTACTACCAGGGCTTTCTGGGATCATCTCCTGATTCCCTGTCTCACATCCCTAAGCTAAGACAGTGCATCATGAGGGAGATTGTGACTCAAGAACATATGGCACACTGACAGAACTGAGTCTCTGCCAAGTCATAAAACTGTGACAAATTTTAAGAGACTGAAATGTAAAAGATGTTACCAAACCAATTTAATTAGGCAAGATAACTAGAAAAGTTCCCATATGGTTAGAAATTAAGAAATATACCTCTAAATTTCTAAATTATACAATACCAATAAAGAAATCCAATTAGGAAGAAATTGTGAAAGTCAAATTTGTAAGCAATGTAATATATATCTCTTTGTAAAGGAGAAGCCCGAAACTTTCACCTCAAAAAACGTACAGGTTGTGTGTGGTTTGGATTACACCTGTAATCCCAAGGCAAGAGGATCAGGAGCTCAAGATCATTTTTTGCTACACAATAAATTCAGGACATCCTGGCCTACAAGAGATCCTATCTCAAAACAAACAAACAAACACAAACCAAACCAAAGACCAATAAGCCACAAGTAAACTATAGAAAAAGGCTAATACACTTGACATACCCTTGTCCATACTGATAAAGAAAGAAGGAAATAGATGCAAGCACAGTGTCTGAAGCTAGAGAGGCAATACTACAGACACTATGGGCCTTGGGATAACATGGATATTGTGACCAGAGTAATATAACCCCAAATCATAGACAATGTGATAAATTACCGGAACAAACAAACAAACAAACATACAATTACCAAACCAGACACAGCTAGAGAAATAAAACACCATAAATTTGTTCTGTTAGCTTACACATAGGCACAGATTCTTTGCAGCCAAATGTCATTGGGAAGTGAAGTCTCCATTTTTGTAATGTGTGAGGCCTCAATAATGCCTGGGCCAATAGAAAGTAGTAGCATATGCCTTTAAGGTTTCCCATTTCACTCTGTTGGATTCTTTAGTCCAAAAAAGAGGATATATAAAAGTATTCTAAAATGTATGTAGTCTGGACCTCCATTTTTTGTCTGTTCTCATCACACTTTTAGGAGAATGGAGCAGAACCCCACTCAAACAAAATAAGCTACCTGAAAACATCCTCCAAAGTCTGAGGGCTCAAACCAAAGCCCAGGAAAAATGAGCTGGGAGCAGAAAGAGCCCAGAACCTAGGCAGCACCCTCTCCTCCCACCTGTTTCCTCCAATCTTGCAACCCACAGAGCACCTGGTAGCTCCTCCAATTTTGACTATATAGGACTTCCACCTTGACTCCTAAACCAACAGATTTCTTTTATTTGGGAGTCAAATATTGAAAGGAAATTCCCAGTGGGTCAGGTTTGGTTTCCTAAGCCATGACACAAATCTTGGGATTCAAGTGGCCGACTACTTTTGGAGTCATCGCTTTAAGAGAGAAGAGACTTGTCTCAATTGTTAATCTGTATGAAGGTCATGGGCTTTGTTAACCAAAAGTTCTAGAGAGCTTTCTGAAATAGAGGATTTACTGAGCTGTTACAAACAGTAGCCAGAAAAGCAAAGGTCCAGGTCCAAAGACAAGCTTTCACTATGGCCAGCAGTGGGCTAGACAGCAGTTCACAAATGCCTGCTGGACCAGAGCTAAACCTGTTTTGTTGTTGTTCTTTGTTGTATTTTTTGGGCCTTTTCAATAGCACTGGCTGACTTCAAACCTGGCAAACCTTTCAGTTCCCTAGAGATTACAGGGCATTTTGGAAAAAACTTGGGGAAAAGAGAACAACATAACCCATATTGCCATATAGTTTGCAGGGTAGGATAATGCAAAAAGCCTTGCTTGTGACAATGGCCCTCTGAGACAGACAGGGAGTTGGTAAATACACTAATCTTTTAGACACAGTAACTAAGTTCTATGCCATTCTCAGAGGTCTCATTTCCCAAGGTGGTAACCAGCTTGATAATCACTTAGTTTGCTCTACCGTAACATGTGGGTCCTGGGGATCAAACTCAAGCCTTCAGGCTTGATGGCAAGGATCCTAACTCACTGATCCATCTTGCCACCCAGATAAGGCACTTTTTATTGGCTGTCTTCTTGTCTCCCTTTTCCACTACCTACCACTATAATATAATAATGTATTCAGACTCAGAATACATTATCAGTGCCCCATCCTGAGACCTGGCTTCTGGGAAATTGCTAATCAAGACAAAACAGTGAAGGATGCTTCCAAGCCATGTCCTCTCACAGTTTTCAATTTTTAAAATTTATTTAACAAGACAGGGTCTCGGGTGGCTTAGTCTGGCTTCAAACTATGTAGCAGTGGATGATCTTGAGCTTCTGATTCTCAAGCCTTGCTTCTGCCTCCACACAACTGTTCTCAATAATAAGGCCAGTTTTTTTTGTTGTTGTTTGTTTGTTTGTTTTGTCGAGACAGAGTTTCTCTGTGTAACAGCTCTGGTTGTCCTGGAACTCGCTCTGTAGACCATGCTGGCCTCAAACTCACAGAGAACCGCCTGCCTCTGCCTCCCGAGTGCTGGGACTAAAGGCGAGCACCACCTCCTGAAGGCCAGTATTTTTATATCCATTGCTCAAGGCCTATATCTACTGCTTAACTGGTTCTGATTCAGCAGTGGAAAAGATGTGCTATTTATTGCTCCTCGCACAAGCCTCAAGAAAACTGTATAAAGAGGTGGTGAGCGCAGGCTCAGGGCACCATGGCAGGCAGGGCATATTGACTGGCATGTGTGAGGTAGTGGATGGTCTCTATTCTAGTTCCAGAAGGAAGAAAGCTGGGCATGGTGGCTCACATCTGTAACCCTAGCTGTGAGTCTGAATCCAGTTTGGTATCCATAATGAGCTTCAGGACTGCCTAGACTTAAAAAAACCAAAAACCAATCTGGTGAGAGTGAGTGGGAGAGAAGCCTTTCCCCAGCATACATACAGCAGGGACAGGGGATGGCTGTTTGAGTCATCTTAAGTCTAAGCCTCCAACAGGCGCACCCTACTGACTAAGTAAAGCTGGAGGTGGTGCCTGAGCTGTCCTCCAGCTCTCCTAGTGCTTGCCCCCTTCAATGCTGTAGGCTGGAACCAAAGCCCTGTACTCAGTCTTTATTTATTTAGAGTCCCAAAGTCCAGGAACAAAATGGTCACTCTTCCAGATGAGGACATTAAGTGGGCTAGTCAATCATGTCTACTTTTCTCGAAGTCCAAGAGGGTCTTCAGGAGGCAGGAAGTGGCTGTGGCTGTGCCTGTGGAGAAAACATACCAACATTTACTGGCCTTGAGACTACTGGTGGGGAGATGAGGCAGACACAGTAGAGGCTGCCCTCACATAGTCCAGTCTAGAGGGTAAAGGTGCCAAGTGGTGACCTTGGCCGTTTGCCATGAGAACAAGTTGTCCACAGTAGGCTAAAAACTGGAGCTGGAAGGTGGTATTATGTTGTTTGTTTGTTTGTTTTTGGAGGGCAGAAAGAGATAGGGTCTAACTCTAGCCCAGGCTGGTCTAGAGCTCAAAAAAAGGAATGAAAGGGCTTTATTGTCCAGATGTCAAAAACACTTGAAAGAAAGAAATATTCCTATGAGATATTTGAGCAACTGAAATGGACATTATGTAATCATTCCTGAACATTTCCTGTGGAGAATCAAAGTCCTTCTGGGCAGTTTCTGCTCTCATAACCTAAGTCTTTCAACTACCCTGTTTTGTACAAAGAAGCAATGAATATCAGGTATAATTAGAGGTTAACCTTTAGCCAAGAACTCTCCTGAAGCAAAAGATACAAGGGAAACAGTGGAGTGTGAACCAGGATGGAGGGAGCTTAAAAGTCAGGGAACAAGGATAGGGGAATAGAGGAGGTTTTCTGAAAGTACCACCATGTAAACAGGGTAAGAATTAGACGGAAGATGGACTGGGGAGGGTAGTTCAGGCAGAGCAAGATAGCTAGAAGCAAGACAGACATGCCCTTGAATAACTACATTGTTCACTGGGGATGGAACATGGAGGTGGAGAGCAGAAGAGGTGAGACCAGAGTCATCCCAGACCAGGTTGTGGGCCAGTCTGGTAAAAGGGAAACCACAGAGAAGGCTCTGTGTAGAAGCAAACATGGTAAGATTTCCTCTGAGATCATTCTGGGACCATCACAGGGGAACGATTGGAAAGGACAAGATGGACCAACACAGAAGCCCAGAAGACGGTGAGAAAGAAAAAGCAGAGTTGCAGGGACAGAGGATCCCATGAGAGATGTCCAGAGGAGGGTGGTTAAAGGTGTGAGTTGTCCCTCTGGAGTGGTCCGGCAAGAAACATCCAAAGGAGTGCTTCTCACTCTTCCATTTCTGCCAACCCCAGAGCATTTTAAGACTTTTTCTAATTGCCCCATCAGTATCATTTATATCTCAGATATACTGTATGTGTTTACATAGTGTGTACATTAAGATCATTTTTTTTTGTGAACCCCTCCACTCCACCCTGCACCCCCACCAGTACAGCTGAAAGCAATGAAAAGGACAAAATGGGCAAGAAAGGGAAGAATACAAGGGATCCAGTAAGAATCCGGGACCTTGTCTCAGTGTGAGTGATGGGAAGCCACTGGAGTTTTAAGCAAGGGTTATGTGACCAGAATTCAGACCATTATATGGAAGCAAGGGTGAGTTCAGGCAAGCCAGGGACAAGGCTGGAGCAGGTGCCCTGGCAGGGGAGGTGTGTGAAAGATGGTTAGACTAAAGCAGAGGCTGCCTGCGACTTGGGGCAGAGAACCATCTTTTGGATTCTGGATTCATAGCCAAGGCATGTGTGGGAATTGGGTGGGGCTAGGACTTAAAAGAAAATGAAGGGAGTTAAGAAGGAAGAAGAAATGATCTAGTGAGCCTCCTTTACCTCTCCAGTTGTGGGTGAACTTGGCGGCTGCACCTGCTCAGCACACTGCAGGAAACGGCGCATGTGTTCGGCACAGTTGCCAACTGCTGCCTCATTCAAGCGAAGGCACTCCTCAAAGGCTTCAAAAGGCTCAGCGCAGGCCTGGCGGATCTGGCGGATGATGGGGCTGTGGGAGTAGGGCATTTCAGACCCGGAGCACTCACACCCCACTGCCGAGCACCCTCTAGCCCCAGTTTTACACTCACTGGGAGGATGTGCAGCGAGCAATGCTCATCTTAAGGTGGTGACAATCCCGATGCCAGGACTCAGGCTTGGCCGCCACACATTGGCCATACTGTTCCAACTCCCGGCTGCAGTACCGAGCAGTAACTTCCAGGGCTGCCTGCCTGTGGGACAGGGTAAGTTGATGATAATCTCAAGAGTAGACAAGAAAAAGTTCTGATTTCGGTCTGTGATTGGCCTAGGGATCCAGGACAGATCTGGAAATTTTAAGGATCCTATGATAGGGACAGCCAACGAGGGACAGAAACAAGAGCTGAGCCCTGAGCGTTGTGGTACAGGGCGGGAGTGTGTGGAAAGACAGTGGAAGTCCTAAAACAAAGTCTGGTTATTGTGAGGCACGCCTGGAGTATCTCCAGTCTTGAAGGCAGTCGTTTCCCACTGGGGATCATGCAGCCCGACAAGCATGATCTAGAGTTGTAGGGAGTTATAACTCACATCTCCAGCAGAGCTCAGGCGCCGATCCGTCAGGGAGAAGAGACCCGCCTTTTCCGGTATCAGGTTGACATGGCGGCGCCCAACCCATACCTCCCGGCTTCACTCTTCCGGTCGCCGAGAGTCCAGCCACTCACTCCATCTAGGCTCGATCATCATGGCTGCGCTCTGCCTCCCCTTCCGGGCTCATTGCTTGACCGGGCTGGACCCCACGAAACTACTTCCGCCGGCTATTTTGTTTCAGTTTAGTCTTTTTACTTCCGGCTTGTAGTGCGGGGGCTTAGAGTTTACCGGAAGTATGGGATCGGAAGTGCTGCTGCACCTCGGCACCAGAACGAGTCGGGTTCCCTGTAGGTATCGTCTGCAGTTGCTCGCGCTGCCACTCTCCGGGCCGGAGTTAGTAGCCGCCGGCCCTTCCCACGCTGCGGCTGGGTCAGCAGCCCTGCCCCCCGCTGCGCCGCTGCTGGGCTCAGCAACAGGGGACTGACCTCTCCGTTGAGCTGCACCATTGGCTTCGGTTCACACTCCCCTCCTAATAGCCACATGGGGCCCCCATACTCATGCATGCTCTTTTCCTGGCATAGGTGGTAAAAGCAGGATGAAAGTGGATCTTACTGCTTGCTCCTTGCAATCGTGGACAAATTACTTCCTTTGTAATTTCCCTGTTGTGGTTTCCACATAAGCCTTCAGACTATAAGGCTAGACCTGGGAGCCCATGTCCTATTTAAAAGGCTAAATACTCCTCAGAGAATTGAGCGTCTGATCACCTAGCATGGAGAGGTCTTCTAAGACTAGACAAAGTGTTCACTAATCACGTCAGTATGCCGCTGTAAAATAGGGGATGATGACTACGGTGGTCTCCTTCATACCAGACATAGTGCAAGGGAAGGGCTGGGCGCCTGAACACAGCAGTTCCAGGTAAAGGAGGCGTTAACTGCATGGAGGTTGTATTCATGAGTTCTGTGGTAGACAGTTGACAAGGGACAACGGCTCCCGGCCATCTGTAACTGCTTCACGTGACAGATGTAAGACTAGCCACACCACACGTGACACTTTCACTCTTGGGAAACATGACACTCACCTCCACCCTTGTCTTTTGGCTGGTGGCTCTGCCAAGAGTGTGACTAAGAATCAAATGTAGAGAACCATGTTTGCAGGTGAAGCAGACCTGAGAAATGAAGATCTCAGAACTGCTTGTTACTGGGGTCCCCTTTGGAGAGCTCATGCATTAAAGACTTTTAACATATTATTAGGAAGCTCATGGGCACCTTTATTGGTTTGAGAGAAAACAGCAGGGCAGGTGAGCTGTAAACATCAGCTGCTGCTGAAGAGAGGGAGCTGGGGAAAGGACGCCAGCCAGTCCCAGCAGGGCAAACATGGCCTTGCCCTTCTCTACCATTCTCTCCACCTTGCTAAGAACTGTTCTATTACACTCCTAAAGCTAGCCACCAAAGTCTATCCCCTTATTTGGCCACCTCCTCTCCCCTGAGGCTGACTACCAAGGTCCAGCTTTCAAAGTATTCAAGTCCTTTTGGGTCACCTACTTAACATGCCCAACCAAAATAAACACCACCCTAACACAGATTTCCTCCTTTACCTTTATAAACTGCCATTTGGCAATGGGCCACATCTGTCTCCCCTCTACCCAGAGACAGTCCTTTGTCCCTCTAGGACAAATATTCCTTCCCCTTCTCTTGTTGCTGACAAATGTCCCTTCCCCTTTGTCCTCTATCTCCTGTCTTTGTCTCTTATTCCCTGTGCTTTGTCCCTCTGGAGAAAATAAATCTTTCTGCTGAGAACTTGGTCTTCGAGGGTCTTGTGCCAAAAACCAGGCCCATTCAGTGTGTACAGTGTATGTGTGTGTGTGCAGGCACTTGACTGTGTGCAGGCCAGAGGTCAGTGTCTTCCTCCATTGCTTTGCACCTAAGTCTTTGGAGACAGGGTATGTCACTGAACTTGGAGCCCAGCAATGAACTTGATTGGCAGGCCAGTGAGCACCTGGGATCCTGTCCCAACATCCCACCCACTAGTATTCCAAGTGTGCCCTGCTGTGCCTTTTATGTGGGTGCTGGAGATTCAAACTTGGGGCCTCATGCTTGCATAGCAAGCACTTTCCCCAGCCCCGTTTCTTATAAAACTACGACTTGACAACTGTACTCTTGAACATTTGTCCCAGATAAAAGAAAATTGTATCTATACACAAACATGTACGTGGCTCCCCAGAGCAGCTTTACCTGTTAATGCCCCAAACTGGAAACAATGGAATGTCCTTCAAAGTGGATGGTTTATCTAGTCCACCCACACTTTGGAGTATTATATACCTCTGGAGTACAAAGCTATGAATTAATACATACAACTTCGATGGATTTAAGGGGGATTCCGTTAATTAAAAAAGTCAGTCTCAAAGCATGTTTTGATTCTATTTACATGCATTTCCTGAAATTACAGAGAAGGGTTGAAGGGTTAAAAATACTAACAGAAGGCACAACATGACAAGTGTCTTATGTGCAACACCAGTCTACACAGAAGATAACATTCCATGCAACTATACGTAAGTACACATAAAATTGGAAAATTCTAAGTAAGTTCTTGGGTTGTCTTAGTGTCATGTTAATTTACTGGTCAAGAATCTACAATTTAAGATCAAAAGTTAATTTTAGACAAGTTAGCTGGTGCTGGGCGTTGGTGGCGCATGCCTTTAATCCCAGCACTCGGGAGGCAGAGGCAGG